ATGATATAAAACATGAAATAGCAATGGATAAGGTTAGTACGACTTACAGTTGGCATAACATTTCAGATCAGTGTATCATTGAAAAGGTTTTCCTACAACTATGTAAAAATGGGCAGTCAAATTTAATTCTGTGTTTTTTTTTATGTGGACAACATCAAACATGAAACCATCAAAAAATCCTTTTTAAGTTTGTCAATTTGGTAAACTGAAAATCATGGTTTGGTTGTATGAAGTTGGGGAGTTTGATAATGAAACGCTTGAACAAGGATTTCGTTTGTGCTGTCTGGCAAACAAACCACAAATGGCTGAAGAATTATATCAGAGGGGAAATACCGATGTTAGAAAGGGTAATGCTTGTTTCTTTTTAACTTGTGAAAAAAATGTGATAGGTTCTGCCTTGTGGCTGTATACCATTTTCGATTGTTATCTGACGATTTATGGAAGCTTTATTGTAAAATATGGTGTAAGTCTGAAATATGGGAATGGATAAAGTTGTATGATACATGGGCTGTTGCTAAGCATTATGGTTTGGGGCAATATAGAAGGAAGGATGGTGATAATAGAGCGAACAAATGTATTATTTATATCGACAAATTTGATTTTTTGGCCATCAAATTGAAATGTGGTCGTGAGTTTTAAGTAAGGTGTATTTTTGAATGGGTAGAAATCAATTCCAAGTGCCCTATTTGTCGCCAACCATCAAAATGGTAGAAAACAGTATTGAATGAAGAAAATACACATAAAAATAGAATCTTTTAATATAATACAGAATGAAGTATTTTAGAGATTTCAAATCAAAACATGGGGGTAGGGGTTTCTTCTTCATAATAGGATGGGTTGTTTTTACGTCAACAATGACAAAGAAATAGCCGGAATGGATATCCAAATACAACAAATTGTCTTCATTGAGGAGACTAATAGAATGGGTGTACATGTATGGTTAGACTTGATAATAACGAAAACAAAAACAAAATAATGATCTGTGGGGCTAAATACATCACTTCCTTTTTTAAAATTTATATAACTGAGGAGGAAATCGAAAAACTTATATTTCATTATGAGTCAAGAAATAAAATCAAAAATCTTTTGTAATATTATAAATGGAGCTAGAAAATTGCCCTTTTAACATTATACCCAAAGATGAAAGGTTGAACATTTTTCATAATAAATATTTCTTTTCAGTCTCCCAATCGGTCTTTACTATGAAGGAGTCTTTGATGACCACACAACCACTAATTTTAGAGTGATTATTTGGATGTATTTTGGTTGTGTGTGTAAAAGTTTACCATGTGACATAAAAGTTGATATTGATCCCCAAATTATCAAAATTTATAATAAGGACGGTAAGATGTTGCATATGTGTCCTCTCTCAGGTTATGAGATCTCTATAATTACAAAAGTAAAGGGGAAAGGAGGAAACAAGGTTGGTAAAGCTTATCATCTTGATCAAGATGATATTCTTTATAGATCAGAAGTTGTTGTCAGTGAAATGAGCGAAATGATTGATTTTTCCACCTTGGTTACAGAGTTTAATGAAATGATTGAATTTATCGATTTGAAAAATAGTAAAATGCCACCAATAGACTGTAAAAAGTTCCACGAATTGAGTAAAAAGTTCAAAGTATGAGATGGAAGGGTAGAAAATTACGACTATCCAAAATTATTAAAAACTGAATCATTTGATAATGCAATTCTAGCGTTTTGATTGGCTTAGCCATTATGGTATATGAGCCATTATACCATGCTCTCCATATATGGTCAGTGTACGTGTCAGTTTAAAATTGGAAGCTACAACCCCGGACAAAACCTGTTGAGACAAATCGCGAAAATGCCTATTTTTTCCTGTCATCCCGGCAAAAACTGAAACCTCCGCCAAGTGAATGCCCGATTTCCCCCCTCCCCTTATCCAAAGTTGTTTAGGATAGCATGGCAATTATACACGTTGGTTTTTAGACCAAGACAACTTTGAATAGGGGGTGGGGAGGGGGTTTACTTTTTGTCTTTAGGGGAGACGGGAGGAGGGCGCAAAAGTTAGAAAATAGATGGAATTGTCTCAACAGTTTTGTCCGGGGTTGTCTGTGAAGGCCAGTTCTTCAAATCGCTGTAACTTCACAATGTAAGGTAGGAGGGTATTGATTTTTTACACAGATGTTGTACTTGTCTAAAGCTTTGTGACTACTAAAGAAGGTGTCATAAAAACAATTAAGACGCATTTATTATGCACTTAGAAATTTAGCCATAAATTATACCTAAATGAGAAAGAAATCGTGGTGTTTACAGAAAAAGTATTGATATTAATTGTGGTTGGTGGCCACGGTTAAGGAGTTACTGTGTGTCACAAATGTGATATCTTAATAGGAGCCTTACCTCCGGCCTTTTTACCAACGTTAATTGTGCTTACACGTCGAATAAATTATATAAGACTGGGTATTTACTATATTTGCGCAGGACAACCGTCCTGTTCAAAAAATAATAGTGCGTGGTACGGTGTGCAGGTCATGCACGAGGACTCAAGAATGCCGCCGGCGGAGCAGTTAAAAATACCACTTAGAGGTAGTGATACTTAGCTGCAGTGACAACTTTCTCCAAATAGTTAGAGTAGAACTGGAAAAGTAAGCTTCACCGAATTAACAATACCCGCGTTTACTGAGTGTGTAATTAGAACAATTTACAACATATATACCAGATTATCTACTTGACAAAATAATAGAATCCATGCCGATAAAACCGTTAATTTTTCTATGACAACCAGGGCCAAAAGAACAAATATTAATGAAGAACTTCCAAAATGGGTAGAAATAGGATGTGTAGGGAAAGCAATGCCTCTTTGATCGCAAATACAGCGAAAACATGTTGTCACGCGCGATGACAGTTCTCTTAAGGCAAAAAAACAGCGCATTTTCATGATAATTACACCTGTGTCAAAAAGTTTTCCCTTAAGTAAAAAGGCCTTTTTAATACTTGAAAATCAACAAAAAGGTTCTATCTACTACGGAAAATGCTTGAAATCACCGTAAACGCTTGAAATAAACGATTAACAGGCACGCACATGTTTATTCCAACGGTTAACAACGGTTAACAGCGGTTAACAGAATATATTAAAGGAAACTGATAGTCTACCTGTTGTTTTTCTTCAGAAAAGTTGTTAACCGTGTCGTTAACCGATGTTTCTTTCCTCTGCTGTACTTTATTCGTAAAGTTAACCGTCTGCGAGAAAAACTACTCCGTTTCTGTTGCATAACAAGCTCATCAAAGCACCTTGCACATCAAGGGATTTCCCGTTATTGTTCTCGTGGGATCTGCGTGGAGAAATAAGAGATCTATCATACCACATTCCCGTCCGTACACAATTCCACGTTTGCTGTAACTGAGGCAATGTTGTCCTATTAAGTGTACGATCTTTGCACTGCACTTGGCGAAGAACTTAATCACTGCTAAGGCAAATTACTCGCGGGATGGAAAAATGAGCCAAATTCGCGTGACTGTAAGTGACCAGATAAGCGCACTAACCTTCCTCTCACCTAGTGATTCATGCGATAATTCCGAGCCTCCTGAAAATGATTCGTCACTATCGGAAGTTCTCGAGAGATCCATTTTGTCTGGCGATTACATATAAATGTCACCATTTGAGCAGGCAAAGCGTCTACGGACACGTAAGCCGTTGAAAGTCTAACGTCACAGAGTAAACGTCATTTGACAGATCATGTAATCAGAGTGTTATAACTTCAATTTTTACTGTAAAAATTTTATTTCGCATTCAAAAGAAAAAAAAAAGCATGCTGAAACAATGGCTTTTATCAATATGACCAAAAAAGAGGACTATAACTTGAGGTAATTGGTATGCAAGTTAAAGAACACCGAAAACAGTCCGCAGACTGTAGCTGAGACTTTTTTTCGCGAAGGATAGAATTGCGCCCGAAGCAAATCGTTTTAATTCATTTCTTAGAACACTAGAAAATGCAATTTCATTGGGAAAAATCAAACAAACAAAAAGCCACAAGAGCTTGTTTGAAAGTTTATCGAAAAACACATGAAAATACATGGAACTAAAGTACCTTGACCAGCTACGAAAGAAGACAAGTGTTGTCTCTTCGATCATGATTGCGAAGCCACTCGCCGAGTAACTCGCCGATATATAACTGCGGCTTGTTTATCAGACATGAAGAATATAAATCACAAGCAACCAGCTACAAATACAGGCTATGCAGCCATTCACTACAGCAATCGAGGAGTCAGTACAGCTTCTTTTCTCGTTCAGCAAAACCAGCCGGTGGCTTCAAACAACTTCATAACAAACGACCGAGTTTCGGCGGCTGTTACCTAAAAATTCTTTTTCTTCACATTATCTGCCAGGTTTTTTTAGTTGCTCTGCTGTGTAAAATCCAGAATCCCGATGAGTTTTTAAAAGTGTTCATCGCTACAATGTTTTGATTTTTCATTCATCCAGTCCAGGAGAGTCCATTCGCGCGTTGACAGTTTTGACTCGTTGGCTATCTCCCATCTCATATCCAACGTGCCCTCGTGGAATAATTGCTAAGTTTCTTTATGTTACTCAGACTGTAAATATCACAGCCTGAATAACAAGTTCAGCTTACTGTTTTTTGCTACTGTCAAGTAACCAAAAACATATTTATTTGCAAATTTTTATATGCCTGTACTTGCCTCCATAATTCATTTTTCTTCTGCAGTTTGGACATGAATATGGCCTCTGTTGCCACGCCCTGTGGCCTTAAGCGATTCGTTGATTAGTTCGCTTTCTAGGTCTAATATTAGCTGATTTGTTGTAATCTGGCGGTAGTTCTTCTTTTGTAATATATTTGAATTTATAGGTGTAGCCATCTTTTTTTGAAATGGCGGATTTTGTGATTTTTTCACATACACACCAAACAGAAGATGGAAAAATACCAAGATGTTGTTTAATTGCATACATACTACAGTAATATGAGACCTCTTTTATTGTACAGTTCAGTGCTTTTTTACATTGAAGTTTGTCCAATTTTTTACTGAGAATGATCGCCTTTCTTGCAGTTTTCTTGTTGTGTCAGTAGTTGTAAATTACAAAGTCTGTTATCATCCCTTTTATTGTTAATATGATCGATCGCCTTACCCTCTAGGATTATTCCATTGAAACACTCGTATACGAATCGGTGGACATAATACGTCCTTTGGCCTGGTTGTCCGTGTTCTCTAACCATGCAAATCATATATCCAGTACTATTTTTATAACCCTTCATTGGCTGCTTCTTCACAATGTTGATAACCATACCATCGGCGCTTCCCGCGTATAAATCATATTTAGGATGAATGACATACGCTGTGTTGTTGAAAATGAATTTATTCATTTATAATTATCCTAATAACCAAAACTTTAAACCAATTTCAAGTTTTAATTTTTTTGTTTCGACTTAAGAATTTGGTTGGTGATAAAATTATGAAAAAAAAAATTGGTTCGACCTAAAGATTTAGTTAGTGATAAAATTATGGGAAAAAAAAATTTGTCTCGACCTAAAGATTTGATTAGTGATCATAATATGATTAAAATTGGTATGGAAGACAGAAATAAACTAATCCGTCAACTCCTCCATAGAATTACAACACAGGAGCTAAAAAAGCTTTTAGCAATGCGACAGCAATGCTCAGACCAATACCAGCATAAAAAACTAACAAACAAGTCGGACCAGCGTCAGCACCCCGAACCAAACGTCAGCGTCCAGTACCATTACCTCGAACAACTAGTGTGAAACAAAAATCAGTAAAAGAGCTTGTCAAATTTTTCAAAGGTGAAATATTAAAACAAAAGGAAATTGATCATTTTGAGACTCTACCAATGAAAGCAATCAGTCTTCACACCTTCAGAATGGAGGAAGCCAAACTAGCCAATAAATTTTGGTAAAGATTCATCCTTTGCTATGTTGTTCAGACAACGGATAATAGCAGACACACACTCTCTCGGCGACACACAAAAAAGATGGGGCCATTTCTGATTTCCCAATTAATCTCTCAAATGATGATATCTATAAATTTGCCTTATGGATAATTCAGGTTAAGTCTAATATACAAATGTCATCTGGAGAAGTAATAAGTGGGATTGGTGATGATATCATATACTACAAAGATGAGAAATTTGAGAAGCGTGAATAGGGGTCTGTCAAATTAACAACTTTTTTGTTTGATGGACAAATGAAAATTAAATCTCATGGGGAGGATATGTGTAGTTGATTATGTCTGGGATCAAGTTAGAGGCAAGAGGGGGTTCAAATCATATGATTACGAAAAGCTGAAAACCGAGATTTATAAGTTGGTTAATAATCCACCAACAGTGAGCACAGAAGAGCTCGTTAATTGGGCCAAGGAGTGTCATACAAATGTATCAATCCATGCGTTTGACTCTACGTATAAGAAGTTTTTGGCAATTACAAATACAAATACGATGACAAATGTAACCCTAGTTTATTATGTGAAAGATCATCATTGATTGGTCACGATTCACGCATGTGAAAGGTCAAACCACAAATCTCAGAAAAACGAAGAGAAGTTTTTTCGTGAAAAAATCGACGAGAACAAAGGAAAACCGAAGGGTGTCTGGAGAGCTCTGAAATCGTTAAGCGGGACAAGTAAACCTCGAGTTCGTATCAACGAAATAACTACAGAAAATGAAGTTGTCAGCGACGAAGCCGTCATTGCAAACGAGCTAAACGAGTACTTTGTTAACATCCTAAAACAAATTGGTAACAACAACGATGCTGGCGGAGATTTTGAAAACAAAAAGCTGAAAAACTTTGTTCACTCAAGATTAAACGTAGATACGGTTTACAACATTCCTCTATTAACGATTAAGCAAACCTTTGCCATTACAGATAAAATCTCTAGTAACAAGGCCTCTGGGTACGATGGCCTAAGCGTACGTGTACTGAAGAAAATTGCACCAGTGTTTGCAACTCCTTTATGCAAATTACTTAAAATTTCAATATCGACAAACAGTTTTCCTAACCACTGGAAAATAGCTAAAGTCACACCACTGCACAAAGGTGGAGCACGAAATGATATCAACAATTATGGCACCATATCGGTTTTACCTATCCTTTCGAAAATTCTCGAAAAGCACGTGGCCAGGTCTCTATCTGTTTTCTTACACGATAATAACTTATTATACTAGCTGCAATCAGCCTTTAGGTCAGGGCACCCAACTGAAACAGCCATGATCGGACTCACGGATCAGATTCTTAAAAAGATGAACAGTGACGAAGTAACCGGTCTGGTTTTTATAGATTTCCAAAAAGCTTTTGATGTGATTGATCGTGAACTTCTTCTAAAAAAGTTGTCTATCTAGGGTGCTACCCCTTCTTCTGTTGCCTGGTTCAAATCCTACTTGTCTGAGAGGAAGCAGCTTATTTCGTTAGGGAAAACTACGTCTAAACAGTTGACGGTAAAGCAAGGTGTGCCCCAAGGATCAATCCTAGGTCCGGTGCCCTTCCTTTTGTTTGTCAACGATATGCCCCTCCACGTCCAAAAGTCAACTGTGGACATTTATGCAAATGACGCCACCTTATAGTTGAGTTCAAACTGGAAAACCCTGCCATTATTAAATCAATCTTTGTCACAGGACCTGAGTGAAGTAGAGAGATGGGCTAGAGAGAACAAAATGTATATGAATATGCAAAAAACTAAAGCTTTGTTGGTGATGGGGAAGCGCCTACGAGAGCGCATGGTCCAAGATACAGGAAAACTGGGAGTAAAAACGGATAACGCAGAAGAAGTCGCAAACCATAAACTTCTTGGTATGATCATTGATGAAGATCTAACTTACAAAGTGCATGTGGATAAACTCTGCAACAAACTTTCAAAGCGACTCGGCCTTTTACGCCATATTAGCCCCTACTTACAGAAAAACCAGAGGATAATCTATTTTAACGCAGTAATTAACCTCTTATGATGTATGCAAGCACAGTATGGACTTCGTGCAACAACGAGGTACTTGAGAGAGTTTTCCGTATGCAGAAACGGGCCGCACGTATTATTCTTGAAGCACAACGCACAAGTCGAACAGTAACATTATTTAACAACCTAAGCTGGATCCCCTTTTATAATGAAGCGTGTATTAAACATTGTAAACTGGCCTTTAAAAGGATAAATGGTAGTCAGCTACCCGACTATTTAAGCGCATCTCTAAGAAAAAACTCCGATGTTCACTCAAGAAACACGAGAAATTGTAATGTAAACTTATTGTCCCCTCTTCACAGGAACATCTCGGAGGGAGGACGCACCTTTGCTGTAAGAACTGTAAAGGGCTGGAACAATCTACCCCGATCACTAAAAACAAAGAAGTCTTTGAAATCCTTTAAGGCTGAATTATGGAAAATACTTTTAATTTCTCAGAGGTCAAAAGGATCGTTTGACCTAAATTAATGAAAATAGATGGATATTGGATGCTCTTCGTTTTTAATAGTTTTTTATTTTTATCGAATTCTAGAAATTTTTTTATCGTAAATAATAATTTATTGCTAATGTAATTTTTATAAGTTGTATTTTTATATTTTTAGAGGGCTACAAGTTGATCAGTAATGTTCAGTTACTGTTACGTGTCACCCTCATAAAATAAAGTCTCTTACCTTACCTTACCTTACCTTATTGTTTTCCCTAACGGACCAACGATTGAAAATTGCCGCGTCAAAAGTGAATCAAGGAGGAAGCTCCAACCTTTCGAAGCGTATGGCTGATTTAACATGGATGAGAAGACATGAAAATATCCATCAAATTGAAACTGTTCACGAGATCAATAGTCAAGGAAAAGAGAATCACATCATCATTCTACCAGAAGAAATAAAGATGCCTTTTGCGATCAATCACTATATTGCACAATCGAACTACTATATCGAATATCTCCATTGGAATAACAATGGAGTTCTGGATCGATTTTTTGATCACAAAAATAATATGATTATGTTAAACGACGAATAGAAACAAACAAAGGAGATTTGTTCAAACTTATCCAATACTGATTTATAAAACTGATGACTTTATTTGGTCGAATCAATCTTTCACAGTATTGGCAAAATGATCGTTGTTCAAGCAAATTTGTGGGTATTTACCAGAATCGTCGTACAGTGAAAGAACAATCAAAATGCTTGATGATTATTATCCAAGGGCGTTGCAGTGGTGCACAACAGAGAAAATCCCCCATGAGGAAATTGTCTCTATTGATATTTGCAAATCATATCCAAGTGTGTTATTGAAGAACAAATCCCCCATCCCTATATACTCGGTGCATAATGTTATGAACCGTTTGGATGCCGCAGTGATCTGAGAAAATGTGGAGAGTTCTATATTGATGAGGTAGTTTTTAACAGTTACGGAACACCCATCAAAATAAAACCTGGGATTTACTCATCCAACCTTGTCAGACAAAGAGAGCCTTGAAACTAGATACTTTCAGCAAATTTATTGAGTATCTATTTCATAATTTTCCGGAGAAAAAAGCCAAAAGATTGGCAAACAGTTTTATTGGAGGCCTTGGAACGAAATATAGTAAGATAAATCAAGGTTTTACTTGGATGCACTGTTTATGATACAGCTATGTCCGGTTGGACGGGAGCGATGGCTGAAAAGCGAAATGTAACAATCGATCACTTTCAAGACATATACTTGGTAAAAGAGCAAACATGTCAACGATTATTTCGCGATAATACGAGCATCAACAGATTTGTTGTGTCTGAAGCGATTCTGAACTCGCTGTTGTTCATAAATCAATGTTGTGATAACGAAAGCAAGCTCTGGGATTAAAATACTGATGGGATCTATGTATCTAATCCGAGGTTGTTGTTTAGAAATAAGAAAGAGGTAGAGTTCAATGTTGATTAAATAGGCAAACCGTTTATCACAGACACTCAGTTTATTTTGAGAAGCATTATCGTGAAATTATTGATTACAAATCATATGAGGTTGTTGACCGCCAGGTAAAACGACATTATTGTGAGACATGGTGAAGAAGATAGAGAAACCATTGGTTCTGGCTTTCTCAAATAAGGCGATTGTTAATGTCAAGGAAAGATAAGGCATTACTGATAACGTGAAAGACATTTGCCACACATTTGACAGCTACTTTTCTGAATGAAACCAAAAATGTATCGATAATTTGAAGGACAAAACAATATCCATCGGGGAATTCAGAATGGTTCCCAATAAGTGGATAACCAAGATCTATGAGACATTTAAAATGCATAATAACACGGTTTACATGTTTGGTGATCCAAATGAATGTGAGCCAGTTGAAGAAGGGAGTCAAGTTCATTATGAGGGTGAAGAAGGTTGAGTACCTGGTTAAGATTAAGGCAAAAGATGAATTAGTGGAAAAGGTAAGACAATTCGAAGCAAAGTTTGAGATAAAGGATAATGAAGCAAAGGAGTATTTATCGATTAACAAGGTTGAAAGAGGAGAAAGATTGTATATGAAAGTTAGCTACAAAAAGAAAACAAAGGAAAAAGCACAGTTAGAGATTCAAAATTGGAAGGAGGGTGCTCTTAATAAAATTGTTGAAAAGAAGGTTTGAAAGCCCCCAAAGAGATAGATCATAAATTTTGCATTTTCCTTGATTAACCAACTTTTTTGCCAAAACTAAATATTTGTCAACTTTGCTACCAAATATATAATTTATGGGTTGATTTGTTATTGGTTAAAAAATCACATGATGAATCACAAGACTTATCTCTTCCTGGGGAATTCCCCAAGAGATTACATCATAGTCTTCCTGTTTTTTCTGAGAATGTCACACAATACATGGCCTTTTCCTTCGTTGAAAGCAAGAGAGAGAGAAAGAAGGTAAAAAATGATTAACATTGCTTGTAAACAGATGGTGAATTCCAGTATTTGTTTAAAAACGGTGAAATGTATAATTTTGTTCACATTTTCTCCTTTGAAAATGTTCCATTTTTTGAGAAAGTGGCTTGAATTTCTGACATTACAGCACCCGTAGTTACGGTAACACGACCTTTCTGAGTTCTTTCCTTTGCTAGTATTTCGATGAAAACCTGATGCTCTTAACTTCGCTCAAATTTTTTCAAAAGTGGCGATGATGATTTCCTCTTTCCACTCTCGGGTGTTTCTAATGTGGCCGCTGAGAAAATCTGCGCTGCTTCATATGAAAAAGAAAATGACTTTGAATACTTTTGTTCATTGCTGTGGCCAGTTGTTTATCAATTTTCCCCCTTTTGAGTTTCACTGCTTCATCATGAAGCGGAAACCACCACTATCAAATTAAAGATTCACTTTGAAACAGAACGCACGCATTTTAGTGCAAGATCACTCTGATGATTTATAAGGGGCTGCTTTGAATCTACCAATACGTGCAATCGTGTAAAGAAGGGACAAAAAACTCAGGGGCACCCAACGTCAATTTTCGGAAAATAACTGTTTGGAAGACGATTTGAGATCTAGAATTTTCGGAACATTTGTTGTAAAATTTTTTTGCTTGTCTGCCTCTCCTAGGATTTTCGAACATCAAAAAATGGTATAATTTCCCGGATTTTTACCCTAAAAAGGTCACTTAGAATTTTCGAGAGCCTTTTTTCTGGCTAAAAATTTTCGAAAAGGTAAGTTTTGATCCCTGTAATTTTCAGTTCAGTAGACTCTCAGCTAGGAAATCCGAACAGACGAAAAATTTTTAGGGGATAAGAATATGCCTATATCTACCGTTTAAATACTAAAATACGTTCAACAATGCCATGTTTAAGTGGTTTTGAACTGTATTCTCGTTGGGTGGCCCTGAAAACTCTCTGTTTAAGCTGTTCGCAGAGAAATTGAGAGGTAGCCTTTTATGATGGTCTGAGACAGAAGCTGATTTTCTACGGACATTTTTTTGTAAACTTTTTGACTGTCATTGTGTGTTGGCATCTTCGTTTTTGCTCTTTAATAAATGTATAACGCCAGCAAGATTAGCACTTTCACATAGAGAGAAAAATGTTGTAGAATGTTAAAATTCAAAACATCAATGTGATTCAAATCAATGAATTAAAAAATCTCTAATTACTTTCTGCTTTTACTGTAATTTCTGTTAACAAGTTTTGCCGATGGAGCTCCGATAAAAGTTCTACTCTCTCAGTCAACCAATGTATAGAAAGAAAGACCACGTCACTTTGATCATTTCGGGAATTTGAATCTAGCAATGTGTTCAGTTGATAATCCTAAAACTTCCCTTTGAGGGGGTAGATATAGCTAGATATATCGAAACCTGGTATTTCACTACAATAGATCAGTTGTCCCGTATTGACGGGATCAGCTATATCTTCATTATCATTGGAGTCAAGTGAAATGCTTTCTGTTTTTTGGGCAAAGAATAGTTAATTAGTACCCTCTTCCTGAGTTAAAATATCCTGGGTATTTGTCCTGCAAACTAGGCTTCACGTTCTTGACGCAGTTACAGCCCTCAACTCAAAACAAGTCACTTATAAATAGGTTTCTAAGATACACTTATTTTTTCTACTGTTATCTAAGCTACTCACTTTGTTTAAGTAACTGACCCCTCAAGTCTTCAAGCAATTTCGTCTTAGCTGATATCACCAATTCTAATCAAAACCCTCATACAGTGATAAACTGGCGCAAGTACCTGAACTGAACACGTATCTTCTTTGTAGCAAAATGACAAGCAGACTCCGAAGCAAAACATATTACGTATGTTCACTACTTTTTACTCTTCTGTCAATCAGAATTAAACGACCAATAAGATCGACCAATAAGAAACAATGGATTAAAATCTACCAATTATGTATCACTGTCCTGTCAATCATTGTAGCGGTTCTTTTAGAAAATGAATCTCTTTAGACTAGCTTGTCTTGGCAAGACCTTAAACCCACAGTTTTTTTTTACTGCTGCCAAAAAGTTTTCCTTCTTTCATTTGGTTTTATACACAGCATATACAAGTGCATAATGTAAAAGGCCTACCAGAATAATTGTGCCTTTATTGCATAATTGATGATATAAAATTGCTCCCTCGGAAAAAAACACATAACCGACCACCTATCATCCATACGAAAAAATGAAATGTTGTAGTTGTAATTAATAAAATTTCATTTCCTCTAAGAAAATATTGGAAAATACTTTTTAATACATTTGGTTTTAAATGTAGTGTTGTTTATAAACTTTGTTTGTTGAGATACTAGGGAAATTTTACTCTCTCGGCGAAGCGTAACGTTCAAAGTACAACCCAGCATTTACGTCCTAGACCATTTTCAATTGATGATTACGGTGTTATTTTGAATTAATCATGGTCAGTATTGCTATCGATAAATTATCTTTTTTAATGTACATGTATCAGAGTACAAGAAGGTGCCTGCAGCATTCACCATCGGAAGTATGTATAATGTTAGGAATAAAATATTAAGAGTAGATGTCAGTAAGAATCAAAGATCGGGCGGTGAGCTCAAAATTTGATTTCGCTTATACTTCGTACATTGGAAGGCCTAGGTAATATACATATTAAATCAAGGTTTATTTGCCTGAATATGGTTTCGATTGAAAGTAATTTAATTTTAACTGTTAACGATATTTTTCGTCGTAATGACCTGGAAATTTGCAAACTTTCACAAAGTTATTGAATCATTTAGTCGATCGTTCTAAAGTATCTTTATGGATATCCAGTTAAACCAAAGCTACTTTTGTTCATTGATTCCGAAAACAGCTCGTTAACGCTGCTCACAATTAATATATGATTTTTTGAGGAAGCACACCACCACATCCTCTAGGAACTTGGTTGAATGGCTGGTCAAAATATTATGTCAGAACATGCCGCGGTACGCAACGAATCTCACCAGGAAACGTTTTGGTCGTCTTTAAATGATAGTTTTAACTTCAGTTTCTACAACTATATATGTTTGGGATCTCTTGTACTTTTTTGGCAAATACTTCTTAAAGTGAGCACAAATTGGAATGTATTACATCACGGAGGCAGGCAAAATGGAACTCATCG